GTACAGTTCCGAGCAAAAGAAGGGGTCAATTGACAACGCTGGGGTCTTTAAAGTTACGGGAAGCGGGGATATTCATTCTGCGCTCGTCCTACTCCTTTCTGTTGTGTTTATCGATCGAGAATGGACTCGTGTGCGCTAAATTGTGTTCAAGACACATGTCGAAATCTCGATTCGGTACCGAGTACAGTTTCCGTCTGCGAAACGTGAAGGCTGTCGCGGGTTTGTGTTTGACCACTTACCAACTGATAGAATTTCAACGACGGGCTCATATCCATACAAACGTGAACTTTTACCGATGGCGAGCGCAAGCCAAATGTCTACGATTCCAAGACACCATCTTTGGTCACAAAATCGGCCGTATTTCCGAAAGTTTACACTTTGCTCGAGATGGTCAAGCTTACCCGTCTGGTACTGATCAGTATAAAACTCCCCGCCCGCTCAATAAAACTCTGTTCCCCAAGAGTTGACACAAGTTACAACAAGCCCTACCAACTAGAATTCAATCAACTTTCCGATTTCAGAGCTAGTCAAGAGGCGTATTTGGGAAGATGTTAAAAGCAAAAAAATAAGGCAGTCTTGTTATCTTTTCCAACACCAGAACAGGGAGAGAAGGGCCAAGGGGCAAGTGGGTGGCGGGTACGAAGCGGATGACGTGGAAACGGCCGTGCGCCGGAATGATGGCTTGTCAGTATCATGAGGCTGAGAATCTTTATTGGAGCTTGCATCGGCAAGGGTAATAATTCGGATGTGCGGACTTCTTGAAGTTGCCGCAAGTTGTAACACTTTTACAGTCATTACCCACCACGAGACTGGACTACAAAGACTACGAAACTCTCGAGATGCCATCTTTGGCTCGCTCAAACCCTTGTGGCTGTGTCCGTTGCACCAATATGCACCAATATGCACCAATATGCACCAATGAGGAGCTCTACTTTGTTCTCTTGGGTGTATGCAAGATTCCAATTCGGCTATCGCGGTGAGTGGCACATCTCAGGACAACTTGGCTCATTAGGCCGGCAAGAGCACTGGGTGAGAGCCTGGTCCGGGTTGCAACGGCGTAACGCTGGCGGTGTATAGGCCTCCTTCGAGACATCGAGTCGTGAGTTGGGTCCGTTACAATGTTGAAGCACAACTAGAGTTTAGAGTTCCTGACATGTCGCTCGCCTTGCTAGGCTTGGTAAAGGGCCCGCTCGTCAGTAATGAACGACATGGATCAAACGACTGTGTTGCAATGTGCAATGTACCCAGTCACGGGGCCCAGTTCCCGGCTTTAAGGCAGGAACACACACTCCCATGGCGATCAGGTACCTGTGTGAGGCCGATACATATGAAGGAGCGATGCGAATGTTAAGCGAGAAAACGAGCTCCTTCAAAAAGGTCGGGCACGTCGGGGTATGGAAGAACCCGGCCAATCGATCGCCTCAAGCTACTGCAAGTTCCTTCTTGACTCCTGGCAGGCGTGCATGTACAAAAACGACTACTTAGTATGCGTCCAACAACAACAACTGTGGGACTGGATGAGAATCTTCCGCAAGGCAGTAGCCGGATCATCCAGATCAACAATATTCCAGTGAGGATCGGGGCGCCATACCAATCCAAGCACCTCGCACCGGCTGAATTCTAAGCCTATTCAATCAAGTACGGCTTATCTAAAGGGCTAAACGGGGAATCAGTATGCTGTAAGTCAATGGTTTTTGGATGAAGGTGATTTTCAGGGACAAGGCACGACAACCCGCTTCATGCCATGATCGCCTGCCCGACCAGGTAGGCTATACATACGGCTGAGGGTAAATGGGGCAAAAAGGCTGCCGGTACTTGCAGAAACAGGGTTTTTCGTCTGCATGTCTCAATCACAAGCATTAATACCTCACTTTTCCGTGCTACGTGAGTTTAGAAGAACGACCAACCAGCGCACATTAACATGCATGGCAGACACATTGCCACGTTATCAACATCAGACCACATGGCGTAATATCAGTCATTCCAGGGCCGCCGACAAAGTTTTAAAGTAAGCACGCGCATGTGTGTGACAGACTCACGATTGAGCCACTCAACCGCGGGGAGAGCAGAAGGGGGGTGGCTGGAGAGAGGGTAGAATGCGCGACGGATGCCGAGCAGCGAGTCCCATGATATTGTGCAGACGGCGCTCCCGCACTTTGCGCTCCGGCCTTGACAAGCCTGCATGCAAAGTCGAGTGAGAGCTTGACAACCAATGCAACGGCTCGCCATCTCTTGACGTGGAGGTGTCATTCATGCGCAGCAAGCCTTGCTACGGGGATTATACTTTGGACGTGCACTACACCTGCCCAGGTTCAGGCTTGTTTCAACCAATTATGACAGCCTTGTTTTCATCAGACAGGGTGGTGCGTGAAGATGGGAGAAACTTGTATAATCCCCAGTCACTGAAATCTTGACAAAAGAGACGGCTTGCAGAGATGATGACAGTGGAAGAATGGCATGCCTCGGTTTTCATCTGGACGAGTTTGTACAGAACCTGGAGCTCGGAGGTTTTTTCCTGATTTTCTTTATCCACACCGATCAATACATGTTAACTAGCATGGCTGGGTTGACAGCTCCTTGCTTCGCGTCTATGTACAAGGGTCTGAAGGAGGGGGGGGGGGGGGGGGGCAGGCTGAGCTGCAGGAGGAAAATCACTGGCCGCTTTAAGCATCCTTATTTTATCCCTTTTCGCATTCTTTGCGCAGCTTACTCGGAATTAATCCTCACGTTATCTCGGCAGCGCATCAAGTTCTACTGATCCATATGGAACGATACCTGCCGGTGCCGATAGGATGTTTTGGGTGTTATAAAAAGACACCGTCACAGCGCATCGGCGCACTGGCGTCGACGCACGCGGCACCTTTGACCGTACTCTCAGACCTTTGCGGCAGAGCGGAAAGAGCGTGTTGTTTAATTTGTTGCTTTTTTTTTCCTTCTTTATTCTCCGAGGCAAGAGATTTTCTAGAATTCTGATTCGTCGTGCAATTCGGCTGATTACCCGACGACAAACTACCAGTTGTATGATGATGCTATATTACAGTACAACAAAATCAGACTGAGTTTGCGAGTGGGTATATCAACTGACCTTGGTCGTATGATTATCTCGAGGCGGCACACATTTGATTTTGCGATGCTTGTCTATCGAAGAAGTGCCTCTGATGCACACTTGATAAGAAACCGAGCTTCGGCTAATATGACTTGCGGCGCAATATCAAAACCAAAGAGAAGGATTGATATCTTGGTTTTTTTTTTTAAAAAAATGAAGGAAAAAAAAGCTGAATAAAAGGAACGCGAATTACGAAGCATGCGTACACGTTGGATTGCTGAGTTGCTGAGTTGTTGGGCTGTTTTGGTCATATAAGAGTGAATAATGGCGTGAGCATATTGCTACTTCACTCATTTCTTCTTCCTTATTTTTTGATATTACTAACTCGTGTATTATTTCCTCCGCTTGGCTCTCTCTGCCTTTTTTTCCTTCTTGTTTACATGCACAGTTGCGGCACTTCGACACTCATGTGCCCGCTTGGTTTGTGTTGAGTGATCTTCAGTGAGCGGTTCTGACCTCGCACTCACCGTGGTGTTACTACCAGGTCGGTAATTTCCGATGCAAGTAAACCCTGCGTGTAGAAACTCAGTGCCTGGATCGGCAGTCGCGAGATCATCATTTGTTGACCCAGTGTACCAGGAGCTCTTTCAGCAAATGTGTTTCGCCTGTGCCTACCTACCTGTACATCAGCACCGTGCCGGCGGCCGGCGACTGTCCTTCTTTGGCTATTCGGGCATTACCGGCCCGTATGTCCTTGCTGGCGATCTTGACGGCCGCATGGCCGGCTTTAGCGTTGCTGTCATCTTCACCGCCGGGCGGGCTCGAATGCGGGCCACAAGTCAGTCAGTCCCATGTACAGAGACACACGGACTATGTATGTCCGGATGACATCTCAAGACCCCCGTTGCGGTGTGGACTTTGCAAAAGACCGCATTTACCGCGGGGTCACCGGGGTGGAGTCGATGAAGCCGGTGCCGTACCGGAGAAGAGATGGTCGTCACGGCTGTAGGGTACGTCGGGATGATGACGATGTCGTTGAACGAGAGCGACGATACATGTACCGCAGCTGCTTCGCTGTGGAATTCTAGCACGAATACGATGCAAATGGTCGATAACAGCTTTTCAGGGGTTTTTGTGTAGTATCTTTGCGTACCTAGTACCAATCTTTGATGATTGTATCTTGCAGCTGTACCTATCTCGACGCTTTCACTGAAAGCAAACGGCTCTCCCTCGCATTCTTCCCCCCCTCTCCTTTCCTTTCCTTCTTACAACGGCAATATTCAATCTTCTCGAGATTTCGTGATCTAACATCTATCCTACAAAACTGCCTTTTCATATCGTGGTGGTTGGACTTGCACTTAATAATGCGGAGCGCGCGTTTGTTAGCTACTTAGCAAACGGACGACTGGCAATTCAACCTTGCAAAGGACAGCCCTAATGAAATTCAACCAAAACTGTCGGCTACAAACCAATCACTCCTCATGCGTCTTAATTTTTTTTTTTTTTGGCCAGATTCATACACATCCCGCCTATCTTGGCCATATTTGAGCGCGATCAACCGTTGTCGCTACCAACCCCGTGTCACCGTTCCGCTGCGGGCAGGCTCCACCACCAAGCGGTTTGCCGAGGCACACGTCCAAACGCCCTACAGAAATACATGGACTCGAGCCACTGACGGGCCATGCAGACGCCGGCGTTTGCACGACAAATCAACTCCGGAAGTACCGAACCGAACTAGTTGACCTGTCGCAAAATCCCGGGGTAATCAAGATAAACTCTGCACCCGCCCATCGATGCCAGCTCGTTATCTTTAACACTGTTCAAGTCACTTTCACAAGCTAGCGAGACCACCCACTGCTTACCGCCCCGCTGGTTTCGTCTGACGTCGAAGCTACCGCCACTCGAACGAGTCCCATCTCCATCCATCACACTCCGCGTGCAGAAAAGCATCGCCATGTCTTATCCCGAATCACACTACCTCAGCCCCATCTGGAAGGATGGCCTCTTCAGTGAGTGAAGCAACCGCCACGCGCAGATGGCCCCTCGCCGCCGACGTCGCGACGCCGCTAACCATACGCTACTGCTAGACGGCAAGGTCGCCTTCATCACCGGAGGCAACGGCACCATCTGCAGCATGCAGGCCAGAGCGTTAGTCCGGCTCGGCGCCAACGCGTGCATCATTGGCCGCAACGTGGAGAAGACGGATAAGGCGGCCAAGGACATTGCTGCCGTCCGCCCCGGTGCCAAGGTGATTGGCATCGGTGCCTGCGATGTTCGCAATGTAAGAAGAAATACGGTACATCTTGGTGATATATTTGACAGCTAAAACGAAAGTTGAAAGGCCGAGCACCTCAAGAATGCTGCCGACCGCTGCGCCAAGGAGCTGGGAGGCATCGACTACGTCATGTGAGTGTCTACCATTATCCCGGCGGCGAGAGCTCGTGGACAAACCCTGATTGCTGACCATTAACCAGCGCCGGAGCTGCTGGAAATTTCATCTCACCCATCGAGGGCCTGAGCACTAATGCCTTCAAGTCTGTCATGGACATTGACGTGCTAGGTACCTTTAACACCATCAAGGCGACGCTGCCGCACGTACTGAAGAGCTCGACGCCGCGCATCATCTACGTATCGGCCACGTTTCACTATACGGGCCAGCCGATGCAGTCACACGTTTCGGCAGCCAAGGCATCGGTAGACTCGCTGATGGCGTCGGTGGCGCTCGAGTACGGCCCGCGCGGCGTCAACAGCAACGTGATTGCGCCGGGCGCGATCGAGGGCACCGAGGGCATGGACCGTCTGGGCGGCGAGGCGGGCAAGCAGCCCAACAACCCGCTGGTCAAGGAAATTCCCGCAGGCAGGATGGGAACTGTGCGCGATATTGCCGACGCGACGGTGTACCTGTTCAGCGAGGCGGGCAACTACGTCAACGGCCACGCGCTGGTCGTGGACGGCGGCGGCTGGCGCCGTCAGCCCGCGTTTACTCTGGGTGACGCTGGGTTCAAGTACCCCGACGTTTTCCTGGGTGACGACAAGGCCAAGCTGTGAGGGATGAGTTGGAGAGTTAAAGAGTTGACCGAGGACATTTGTATGCCGCTGTTCGACTTTGTCTGGTCGGTTCAAAGACGCTCGATGGGAAGTGTCTCCCTCTGACGACCCATGTATGAATAGTCAAAATAAGAGCGGCTTACACATAAGAGCGGCTTACACATAAGAGCGGCTTACACATGCAGGCTATTAGATGTTGTGAGTCCATGACCTCTTTGGAAGGCAGAGATACAATGAATAGCACCAATCACTCGGCAGTTGTCCCAAAAACGGATGTCGGAAGGCCCACTAATGAGGTGGAGGGCTAAAGAGGGCTGAAGATGTGGAAACTGGTGAGGTTGTGAAGACGCAGGATTGAGTGACTGAAAAGACACTACTGATGTGCAATGCTATTAACTATGCGAAGGCAAAATGAGAAGATTGAAACGGTCAATTTCATGACCTAGTGAGTGACCTGACGGTGCGCCAACCGACACGAATATTGTACATCTCCGTGGCGATGCACCGTTATCGGTGTCAACCGCGTGGTAGCGGATTGTGGTGGGCCTTTTTTGTTCGAGCGGGGAACGGCGGTCGCCAGTTGGCACGTTGACACTGGGTGGTCAAGTGGTGAAAGGGCTCTGGGTTCCCATGAGACGACCAGGCTAAATAGCCAATGCATATTCGATGACCAAGGCGATTGGCAACATGGTTGCGCCCTAGGAAAACATGGTGGTCATTCTGGTTGCTTGAGCTGAATGTTGTGTCGGCGGAACAAAGATATATGTGCGGGCAAGGGAATTTTGTGGAATTTGTATTCCGCAAGAGTTCTGAACTGACAAAGAGAAGATATCGGAAGGAAGGTTTGACTGGAATTGCCGTGGTGACTCGATGTTGAAACCACAATCAAAAGGCCCAATCCAAATTCCTCTCAAGCTCGCTCCCAGAAGTGCCAATATTCTCATACCTAGAAGTTAGAACCCCGCTGTGCCCCGCACCGGCGCGGAGATGCCTCCCCCCAGTAGTGGGGCCGACGGCCCATTCAACCAATCGCCAGTCTTGCCGCTGCAGCTGGTAAGCCTCCCGCGCCCTTGTAGCAGTGGGCTGTCGCTGCTACCTACCCAGACTACCTTAGTTAGGTAGTACCTAGTGTAACCACTGTATTCTGCTATCAAAAGCAAACGGCAAACGACGGACGCGCTTGCCGAAAACAGAAGAGGGGTTTTCTCCTCCAAAAGCTTTGCAAGCGATAGTGAATAAATGAGAAAACTATTTGACCAAGCTCTGACCCCATCCGTCCGTCCGTCTGACCGTTCGTTTATTCGACCGTTTGTCATTGTCGTCCAACCATCATCACCAGTAGACCATATTGTTACTCATAGACTTTAGTGCGGCAATTCGAGCTCGCACACGCAACTTGGCTCTCCTCCATCTCAGACAAGTCTCGGCAATCAAACACTATGCACTCCAAGCTTCTCCTCTCGGCCCTCGCCGCCGCCGGCCCTGCTGCCGTCTCCGCCGAGACTGTCCTGGGCGTCTACGTCTTCCATCGCCACGGCGACCGCACCACCAAATCCTATCCGCCCACGAGTCTGACCGCTCTCGGCGCCGACCAGGTCCACGACTCGGGCACTTTTTACCGCAACCGCTACGTCGCCAAGGACGGCTCCGATCACATCTCCACCCTCTCCCAAGACGCCGTCGTCCTCTCCCAGCTCAGCATCACCTCCCCCAAGGATGGCGTCCTCCACAACTCGGCCACCACCTTCCTCCAGGGCCTCTACCCGCCTCGCGGCGATGCTGGTAACGAGACTCTCGCCAACGGCAAGTCGGTTCAGGCCCCTCTTGGCGGCTACCAGTACATTCCCGTCGATGCCGTCTCAGAGGCCGCCACCATTGAAAAGGCCGAGAGCAACGCCTGGCTCCAGGGCAACACGGGATGTACCAACGCCGAGGTCAGCTCCAAGAGCTACTTCAACTCGGCCGACTTTCACAAAACCTCGGCCGATTCCGACGACTTCTACCAAAGCCTGATGCCCGTCATCAACTCGACTTTTTCCTCCACAGAGGCCACTTTCAAAAATGCTTACACCGGTGCGCCTTTCAGACCCAATCGCCTCTATCTAGAACCTGCTCACTAACAGTTTCAGTTTTTGACTACATCAACGTCGCCTCCATTCACAACCAGACTATTCCCTCTGGCCATCTCGTCAAGCCCGCCATGCCCCGTCTGCTCAGCCTCGCCTCCATCCACGAGTGGAACCTGGCCTACAACAGCTCCGAGCCCGTCCGGGCCATTGCCGGCTCCGTCCTCGCCGGCCAGGTCCTTGGCGCCCTCGACGCCCTCGCCAAGGGCACCAAGGGCGCACCCACCTTTAACGCCCAGTTTGGCGCCTACGGCACCTTTATGGCCTTTTTCGGTCTCGCCCAGTTGCCCGCCGCCAGCTCCAATTTTTACGGCATCTGTGACTACGCCTCGTCCATGGCATTTGAGCTCGTCACCAATGCTACCGCCGGCTCCGACGGCAAGTACAACCCCGATGACCTCTCCGTCCGCTTCTTCTTCGCCAATGGCACCGCCACCGGTTCCTCCTTCAAGCAGTGGCCCCTGTTTGCCCAGAAAGAGACTACCCTCCCCTGGTCCGCCTTCAAGGATGGCATGAACAACTTTGCCATCCAGGACAATGCCCACTGGTGCAACACCTGCGGCAGCACTTCGGGCAAGTGCGCTGCCAACGGCACCTCATCCGACGGCGGTTCTGCCTCTACCCACTCTTCCGGCTCCGGCGGCGTATCCCGCGCTGTTGCCGGTGTCATCGGCGCCCTTGTCACCCTCGCCGTCGTCCTTGGTGTCCAGGCTGCCATAATGCTCATTGGCGGCTTCCGTCTCATGAGAAAGTCTTCTCTCCGCTCGCAGCGCAGCGCGGAGGCTGGCATCAAGGCTTAAGAAAATAAAGGAAGAAAAGTTGCCATTAAAATAGAAATAACGTGTATATGAACGTATTTGAATATCGTTATCTATTGACTCCATCTTCGCATCCTCCCTCATAGCCCCGCACACGGCCCCTCACTGACCTCTGCAGATGCCGGGCTGGAGTGAGGCAATAAAGGATCTCAGCAAGTAACTGCCTCAGCTATGGGCCTCGATCAGTGACTTGATTCAATAGTTTAAAGCGACGGTCAATGGCGCTCGTTGACCACTGGGCCGCATTCAGTAAAGAGTGATCGCAGACGGGACGGGCGGAGCATCGCCCCGCATCGGCGCCTGCTTTTCAAGTCTGCGACGCCGGTGTACTGGGATTCCTCCCACTGTAGAGCTTCGACGTGCCATTCCTCGTTGCCAAAGCCTGATCCACCGTGTAGGTAGCAGCGAGCCTTCCACGTCGACCCATATCTTTGCCGCAGTGTGGCGATGAGCTGCATGTGCCAAGGGCCCAGAAACGGAACTGAACGCCGGCAGAAGTGGCCGGCTCTTCCGTTACATGTGAGACATGCAAAGCGGCACAAAGAATCTGCAGCGTAACGTGTACTGCGACATGCAGCTTGCTCCCCACGGCTTGTGACGTCGGATGCGGCCTTGCGATGGTGTGAACCAGTTTGTCATCGTCGTTGTGGTGATTTCGATGTGGTACTGGACCGGTGCTGGCGTCGGGCTCAGGGAATTTCCTTGCACAAGCCGTCGGTAGAGCTTCAGCCGGGCTTGTTGAAAAGTCACATCGGTGCAGTGTGCAAAGTAGCCAGCCGTAGGTAGGGGTGGCGGGATTCATATCGTGCGTCGCAACATGAAGAGGGCACCGATAGATGCCCGTTCTTGCAGGCTGCAGCTTTTGCTGTGCTGGCTACAGTTTGCATTTCTTCGTGTTTAAAGATGGTGCTCAAAGCCAGTCATATGAGTTGAGCCTTTGCCTCTCATCTTTATGGTGACGTGAATACAGGTCATATTTCTTTAAGACCATCCATCATCCTCTCAACAGCCAGCCTTCTCGCACCCTTTAAACTTTGACCACTATTTTTTTTTTTGGGTTTCCTAAACCAAAAACTTTGCCCTGCGTACGCCGTGTCACCATGGAAGACAACCCCGTAAAGATCATTGCCCAACTGGCCAGGTATGATAACTATAGCTTGGCGCACGATCCATCAGCACGGCGAGCTGCTCTGGCGCTATCCAAGAAACTCTCATTTTGCTTGGAAGATCCAGAGACCCTGGCCATGGGGACTGCTATGGCGGTAAGCAACATTGTCTGTCCCATTCCTCTTTAGCTTTTGCACCCCTCGCACCCCTGCTTCAAACCCAAAGTCACCAACCACACGCGAATCTCCAAATCTCACATGAAATGGGTGCGAAAAATAAATAAATAAACAGCCGATGAGCAATCTGGCAGTTCGTATCGCCATTGATCTCGACCTCTTTTCCCTCCTCGTCGCCCAATCTCACCCCGTATCGTCGTCCTTCATCGCCGCATCCACGCACAGCGACCCGACGCTCGTCCATCGGATCCTGCGCGCCTGCAGCAGCATCCACCTCGTCCAGCAGGAATCTGCCGACGACAACGACAACGACAACGACCACGCCGACTCGTGGTCCGCCAATGCCGTTACGCGAGAAATGGCCCGCGGCCCCATGCCCGCCTGGCACCGCATGTGGTGGGACTTACTCCTAACGTCGGCCATGGCCGCGCCGTCCTTCCTCCGGGACCGCAAGCACCAGGCCCACGACGACCCCGCGCGGGGCATCCTGCAGCGCGCCTTTCACGCCGCCGACGGTATCGCGCCGTACGACGTGCTTCAGAGTAGACCCGCGCTGCACCGCGACTTTAACGACGCCATGGCCGTCAACACCGGCCAGCCCGCGCCGTGGTTCCGGCTCTTTCCCGCGGAGCAGCATCTCCTCGCTGACTTGTCCTCCTCCTCCTCCTCCTCTCCCTCCGCGGTGCTGGTCGACGTCGGGGGCGGCAAGGGCCACGATTTGCAAGCCTTTTACGAGGCGTTTCCAGACAGCGGCCGCGCTGGGGCGCTTGTGCTGCAGGACCTGCCACCCGTCATTGACAGCATCGAGCCGGGCACGCTGGATCCCGCTCTTGTGACGCAAAAGCACGACATTTTCACCAGACAACCAGTACGCGGCGCGAGAGCCTACTTTTTGCGTCGCGTGCTGCACCAGTGGCCAGATAAATACTGCCTGCGCATCTTGAAGGAGCTGTGGAATGCGATGCGGCCAGCCTACTCGAGGTTGCTTATATACGAGGCAATTCTGCCAGATGCGGGCGCGGCGCGGGCCTTGTGCGAGCTGGACCTGTGCGTCATGTCATTTAGTGGTGGGATGGAGCGGTCCAAGAGTCAGTGGGTGGCGCTGTTGTCGAAAGCTGGGTTTGACGTTGTCAAGTTCTGGCAGACGAATCCAAATGCAGATGGAATCGTCGAAGCAGTAGTGAGTGCTGTATAGCAAGGTACACTAGGCTGCGATTCAGTTAGTTTGAATGCATGTTGCGAGAATGTCTTCACTGGTCCATGCGAGTGGCGCAAGGGCTTCGTTGTCGTTGACATGTATTAAGGCCATCTGTTTTTTATAGCAGTCAGGCTGTAGCGTATAAATGCACCGTAAGCTGCACGATAACCAAGGGGGGATAAATAATCATCAGTAACCAACATTGACCAAACGCCTTGTACCCCGTTCTCTCGTAAGCAAACCATTAAATGAACCAGTCTTGTAGCGTCCCCATGAGTGGTATACACTTGCAATTCAATTGCCCTGTTCTGAATGCCAACATGCTGCGAATGTTTGAGTCAAGATGAAAATTAAGTCTACTGAGAGGAAGCAGCAGGGTCTTTGCGAAAGGGGCGTCGCAACATGGCATCGAGTTCCTTGAGGCGACACATGGCGATAGGGTCGTGGCGGTGAAAAAAGGCGCGGCCTCGCTTGCCAAACATGTCTAGATCGCCATTAGCAAAGCTTCGCTTTTTCTTACCGAGCAAGAGAACGTACACATAGGAACACTGGTCAAGCAAATGACGACCTGCAGTATGGAAATGATGACGAGGACACGGCGGATACCACCTGCGATGAGCCAATCAAGGGCGTAGTAGGTGACGACGAAGCTGAAGAAATTTTTGAACAAAATCGTGAGTGTAAATCCTTCAATGGCGAGGTCACCTGCATGTAATTAGTGAAGAGCTCTCAACCCACACGGAGAGAAGCTGCTTACGGTAGGCGTCCACAATGTACAGAGAGCTGGCGACAGCTCCGATAATCATGCCGGCGACTTCGAATCCGAAAAACACCAGCGGGACAATAACCGACCGGTTTTGCGATGCAACGTCTTCGACGGTGAGAGCAAATCCAAAAAGTCCAATAGCGCTGGTAATGAGCATGGGAATAATGAGCAAGATGCGGAACTCGGGCTCGTAGACGCCCTTGTTGGCCTTGGTCATGAGGCGAACACTGATATCTGCGAGAAGACCGCAAAGTACAAAGCCTAGAAAAGCACCGATAAATGCGCCAGTATATGCATAACCAGATTTGGCAGTTCCCCAGAAAAGAGGAGGGCCAATAAAGATGGATGCAACCAGAGCGCCCATGAAGATGGTCCAAGCAATCATGGTTCCCTGAATCAGACAAGCCCAGATGAATGCGGGATTGATCAACAGCGGGAAAGGGCGCAACAGCAGTGTCAGGTACGGGTCATCCGTTTTTCGCCCATCGAATAAGGACATGGACTCGATGAATGTCTTGGGAGGCGTGTTGGCGTCGCCGCAAGGCTGGGGAAGATTGGTGGGCAGAGCACGGAAGCCAGAGTGGTGCGCTTTTTCATTTGTCAGGGAAGAGTGGGACGACGGAGGCTGCAATGCATCTTGCTCGGTGAAGATGTCCGTGTTGAATCGGGCTTCGCGTCGATAGGCGGTTTCGGGGCAAAATAGAATAATGGCGGGTAGTGTCGCGCCGGTAAAGATGGCCACGAAGTAAAAAGTCCAACCGAGGCCGATGCTAGCAGTAATTTTTCCAACGACGATGGGCGTGAAGAAGGCGCTGCCAAAGACGGCCAAGTTGGCAAAGGCCATGCGAATACCACGCTCGTGAACAAAGTACATGTCGCCGATAGCGGCGTTGAGCAGACTTTCGAAGGGAGCAATTCCGACACCTTGAATGGCGCGAGCGGCCGCCATGCTTCGGAAATGACGTCTCGCATCCTCCGGTGTGTCGGACAAGAGAGGCACTGAGCCAGCCCATGCGCTGGTGGCGATGACAATGATGAGGCCGAGGAGGAAGAGGTGGCGCTTTCCATAGACACGAGCAGAAGGGACGAAGAAGATAACGGCACCACCAGCACCGGCAAGAAGGTAGCCGGTCAGCACAACAGCATCGGTAATGGTCAAGGCAATATTGCCGATAAGCGTGACAGTATTGGCGGCCAAGATGGGGCCGAGACTTGTCGCAAGAACGCCAGCCCAACAAAGAAGGAATGTGATGAGATCGCGTTTCCGAATCGGCCAATTTAAAGGATCGTTGGGGTCATCTGACGGCTGAGGAGTCTATGAAAGCAGTCAGTCGGTTGGCAATATGTGACGGCTGGCAGGGCAAAGATGGGTACCAGAATGAGGCCACCAGGCGTGGTTTTGAGATGAGCATCGTGCTCGCCGGCCATGCGCGGCCGATCAGGGTCGTCATAGTATCGCGTGGTGCCTGGGAACAGAATATCAGTAAAGGCGTACATGACGACAATGGTTGGCAGGTTTGCGCGGTAGACAAGCTACTTACCAGGCACCTTTTCATTGCCCTTGGGCTCGAGGACTCCGAGACCCATGGCGGCTGATGGCAGCTGCTTCGGTGCGCAGAGCAGGTCTCGCTGGGGCAACAGATAAGTAGTTTGTGAATCGAAAGAGGCGGCGATGAATGCCTTGAACACTAGACCAAGGCGACTAGGAGCTGCGAGGTAGAGCTGACACGAGATCAGATTGAATGCAGTACGGGGCGGGAGGCGTGGCTCGGATGTTTTGCCCCTGATGCGGTTGTGATCTATGACATTCCGAATTTGAGCAAGCAAGGTTGATTTTAGCACCAGACTTGTGTCCGGAAGGGGAGATGCAAATCGAGTACAGATAGCCGACGGGATGAATGAGGTGGAAGAAGTGGAAAAGAAAAGCGATAGCAACTAAATGAATAGATAGAAACGGGGGGCGGAGATCCCCAGGAAGCGCGTGGGGCTGTCGAGGATGGGTTAACAGTGGGTGTCGAGGTGTGTGCGCAGCTCTGAACGTGGCTGAAGCAGGAAAATCATGCGTGAGTAAATGCCGAGCTAAGATATCGAGTAAAGATGATGTTGTTTTATTTTTTGTTGGCTTGCGGTCTTTGACCATGAAGGAGCGCTCGTCTTTCTGCTATGCTGTGCCTAAACCTCCCTCGTTGTTGGGTGGAGCATTTCTCGCGGGCGAAGCACTCCGTAGGACTACTCTGGTGCTTCTCGGAGCACGTTCTAGGTATGTAGGGATATAAAGTACCTATGAATGGAGCCATTTTCACTGCATGGCAATTTGTGAAAAAGAAATGGGCAGCATAGTGTAGACTGGTAGCACAGATCAACAAGAGCGGACATGATGAGCATCGTCTTGCGTCGTCGATCTCGAATAGTGCGCTGCCGGCGCTGGACGGCAGTGTGGGCAGCAACCAAAGAATCCACACCACCATCAGCCTGTGCGGCCGGCACCTTCGACCCTGTCGGATGCGAAAACGAATCTTGACTTGTTTTCAAGGAAATGGTCCCCCTGGTCCAAGATAATGCATGTTTTCGAACGACATGCAGAAATCCTTTTCGTTATCCCACAGCAGTGGATCTATAAGTACCTAGTGGCTCTGGCACTCTCCACTGCAGCTGTCAAAAAACTGACCCCAACCCATTGTTTCTAAACATCTATCAGTACGTCTACCTACCCAGCTGTCTCTAAGCTTACTTGGTACCTTTCTACGGCTGTCGCTGTGGTATTCACCTGCCGGCATCGTATTCGTACATTAGCAGCCGCAATCCTTCCAGGTACCGGGAACGCAAGTCTGGTGTGCCAGCGTCACATGCTGCGAAGTGGTATGTATTAGCAGCCAGCCACTTGTTGAGCCTCTGGCTGGTGGATGGTCGACTGTCCACACCATCTATCCATCCATCCCTGCGCCCTCTGCTGAGATGTCGGTCCAATGACAGCCACAATCTGGCTACTGGCCAGGCCTCATTTGGCACGACCTAATAAGAAGTTTTGATGCGATGCTGATTAAAAAAAAAAAGGTCCATCATTCTAAGCCAAGTCGATGGCTACAATAAAGAAGAAATATCACATCAGAAGGTATCAGTCCGTTCTTGGAAAATGGACTGGCATCCTAGGTATTCATCACCTGTTTGCAACTACATGTATACTCCCCGAACTTGATGGAAGATCCTAACTAGCAACTCATAGCCAAATACTTCCTGCTTCACGCATTGCATAGTAGGCAGACTATTCTTTTACTACAACCGCGCTGTGCCACACAACTGTCTTGTTGACTCGCAATGTCGATTTTGTTTGAGCTCCAACTTACACATACATTTGGATGCCACCCCGCCGGCCGTGGCAGCTGTTAGCTGAAACCACCAGCTGCTCTGCAAACATTCAAACGTGTAAGTCAGCGAAGCAGGCTTCTTTGCCTCCAGACTTTCAGTGTCGACTCGCAAAAAGCAGCAACGCCTCGGGTCTTCGTTGAATGCCCGCGCAGGAGCTGCCCCTCACTGCCCCTTGTCAAGGTGATCAGTGTCATTAGGTCCTGTCAATGGTCATCGGCTGCGTGGCCTAATGGTTAAGGCGCTAGATTTCGGTTCTCACTTGACGATAATCTCTAGAGATTCCAGGTTCGACTCCTGGCGTGGTCGCACAATTAACAAAAGTGATTTTATTTTTGCCAAGATGGGCTTCTGCCTGCCCAGTATTCTATTTTGCTGTAAGCTTTGAGTCCGTCGTGATTTGCTTCAAGTTAGTGCAGTGTAAGCTTGGCCAAAATTCTGCTTGTTACAGGCAACCTCGCACTGTCACTGGAGGACTTGCTAGCATTGCCTATAAGCGATCCGTGAGTGCGCTGCAACTCGGCGTCTTACCACAACAATAAACTGATTATAAACGTAGGAGCCAGTTTTGAGCATCAGGCTTCATTATCAAAAAAATTCCAGTAAAAATAATTTACATATCGCAAGTACCCCGCCATTACTTACCTTTTTCCTGCCTTTCAAGATAAATACATCACGTGCCTCATTACCGAGGTATGTGCCTAGGTAGTTGGTCCTCATAAGCGCGTAAAATAGAACCGCTAGGGGCTCATCGCCCTTGCATAATGAGAAGACTACTTCATCACACCCACCAGTCTGCATTGCGCGATCGAGTGCCGCAGAAGATCTCTCACGACTACTGTGGAGAGTGAACCTACAGACGGCGTTGATGCACGGCAGCAGTAATAGCGCTGGGCCAGCAAACCAGCTGGGGAACTTTTGCTTTACCAGTGACCCCACAGTGGTGTTTCAAGTAACTTGCGACCGCTGAAAGCCATGGACAACTCACAAGAGAGATGTCGGCTTTTTGTATCCCCCGAGAGGCTGGTCTTCGCGGGGGGTGCTGGTCAAATCCACCGTCCAGAATCTTGAATCGCTTGGGATGCTTGAGATGAATAGAGCAAGCGTTCTAGCCCATCTTCTGTCTGGGGTTCGTGAATCGATACTTGCTGAAAGTGCAGTCAACAGAAGATGGTGCTCTACATCACAGATCTCTTCGGTAGTGGTAACGTTAAGACGTGGAATCGTCGTGGAGAAGCCATCCGTGGACAACGCCGTTACCCTGGACAGTATTGAAAGAGGCCAGCCGACTAACATTACGGCCGAAGAGGCACACATAAGCCACAATTCAGAAGCAAGCGCGCGATCAACTTATACGCCAATGTTACAAAACAAGGTGTTACATCCATACTAGGAGTGGGCATACAACGTAAGGTAGCGAGAGATACCATCAAGTCGCGGTTTCTACCCCTTACCATAGTACGTTGCCGGCCAAAAAAACCATATACTGTCAATCTCAATTTTAGTCAGGTAAAGTCGCAGGAAATCACTTCATGGTTGTCTATCTAGAGTATCGTGATATAGACGGTGAATGCAGAGATGATCATAGGAAGCACCCATGTCCAGACCACCACTAACAAGATCCTGCTTTTTTTGGAGGGCGGGTTTCAATTTCTGACTCTGTGGAAGGAAATATCTGCGACGGACCCCTGACTTAGCCGAGCTGGGCAGTGTAGTCGTGGACCTCCTTGCCGCTCTGGTCGTAAACGGAGCGGATGGTGATGAAGTCGCTTTCGCGGCTTGACGCGCCGGCGGCCTGGGCCATGAAGTCTTTCCACGGCTGAGCGCGACCGTTGTTCTGGACGGCTGCAATTTGAACCAAGGTTAGCACTCAATAACTAACAATGGGAAGAGAAAGCGCTCCGCTAGGGCTGAATCTAACGTACCACCCTCCTGAATAGGAGTGACGAGGGATCCCATGGCAGCAGGCATGTTGATGAAATTGATGACGGTCTAATACAAAGTGGTTGAGTAAGGTGTACTGAAATGGTTGAACTGAATGAGTAAAAACTGAGATAGAAATCAGAGAGCAAGCAGGTATTTATAGAAGTCTTTGGTGGCCATTCGGTACCAAAAGACCAAAGGCTGAATCAAGCCGCCAACCTCGTTCTGCTTCGTTTCCTCTTTTCTCTCCCCGCTTCAGATATTACTGTTATCTGCATTGCCTGCCGCTTGCCTTATGACACTGGTAGGCTCGGATGCATCCTGAACCACGTCATTGTATTGGCAGCCATACAAACTAGCTGTCGGGTACATGAGTAGAAGAGCTCATCGCAACTACCTATACGAGCATGATAGACCAATGACCGCCCCAGATTGGGCTGCGGGAATGCTCCTGAATATAAAATCTGGGGTAAGAATCCTTACAAAGGATGACCTTGCAGCGGGAGGAGGTCTTGCAGCACGAGGAAACGTTGCAGTAGGTGGCCCTGCAGTGAGCGTCCTTGAAGTAGTGTGAGGCCCTGCAGACCCTCTCCGCGGTCCTTTGTATGACCATATGGATACACTGGCGAAATTGGGTTCGTGGTATAATGTAGGGGCGTTCTTCAGCCTCTACACGCTTCAATCGGTTCGTGTACTCTACAATGATGGGATCGCCGACGGTAGATAATACAGCGATTAAGGTGGATATTATGAGCTACCACATGCAGTTGACGCCTACCATTCCTCCTCGTATAGACAAGATAACTCCTCAATAGAGTCTGCATGACGTGGCATGCATATGTCACTACGGGCTGGTTCTTCTTGCCTCTAGGAATACTCCACCGAAAACAAGAGGAAAAGCCTTAATTGCTGCGGAATAATGCGTCGGCGATGTATATATACCATTATACAGCTCACTTGATAGTTTGCAGACTCTTAAACGCACAGCTCCATCCGAATCATCATGACTGTTGTTCTTGGTCAATTCAACTACTTTCAGTGGCAGAAGAAGTTTGAGGAAGAGAAGCCTTACTATCTCTACACTGACCCCCCTCCTGGCTACCCAAATGCCAACTTTGCCACGCAGCCTGGCGCGCCAGAGCCCATCCAAGACGTGCGAGGCAGGGAGCATGAATTCAGCCTAGACGACAATGGATTTGCCTTTTGTCGTCAGAACTACCCGCATAAGCTTAGAGATGTCGACGAAAACACCATCAAAGAGCAGTATCTTCCTAGTCTCGAAGTCTTGATCCGTGACCTATTGCAGGAAGAGTGTGAGATTTTCTGGTTCGACTGGAGAGTAGGTTCAGAATTGCACCTGCGCCCCCATTGGAAGTGTCGCGTGCTTCTCCACTGTCACTAATACTGAAACGAATCCTTCTACAGCGGCGGTCCAGCGATGATGGCAAATCCAAGTTTAGCGACGGCACAGTCGTCAACTTGGAGAACCGGCAGCTTACGCTGGCCCCTATCAAGGCTGTCCACGTCGGTAGGGCTCGAGTGGCGTGTTGACCGAATACTTCTGAACACGGCTAAGAACGGATTAGATCAAACGCCTGCCGCAGCAATTGACCGTGTCTATCGCCATGTCCCCGAAAAGGCGGACGAGCTTCTCAAAAAGCGATTTCGCATCATCAAGTGAGCCGCAATCCCATCCACACTGAGATTAATGCAATCCGATACAACGCTGCAAGTCCAAATTGAAATGGTAGCTAATTTTGCAATGTTAGTGTTTGGAGACCGATTGGAAACCCTGTCGAAAGCATGCCACTCGCCTTTATGGATGGCAGTCAGGTGCCGCAAGATAAGCTGATCGAGGTCGACGTCGTGCGTCGCTCGTTCCCTGGCGAGAGCTTCTATCCACTTGAGCATGGCGGCTACAAGTGGTACTTTATGAATCAACAGGCTCAAGACGAGGTTCTGTTCATGAAAATGACTGATTCTAAAGAGGATGTGAAGGCCAAATGTAAGTGTGATCAAAGGGGTCTGAGCGAACGTTGCGTATCTGATGGAGTGAGTACATTGTGCTAATGTGCGATCGTGAATTCTTTAGGCTGTCCGCATGCGTCCTTTGCCCAAATGGCATGCGAAGGGGCGCGGCCCCGAGAGAGTATTGAGGCTAGGGCGCTGGTGTTTACAGACTGGTAGACTATCCGAGCTGTGTAGCGGGACGAGGAATCTGCCAAGCTATTTTGGAGTTTGCCTTAACCTTCGCCAATTGTAGTGTCGTGGTTGTTGCCTAGGCGTAAAAATAGAAAACAAGTAACAGATGACAGCCATGCATCGTCCGACTGGCCTATCCTTTCCTCCCTTTTCAACTTTTTGGGAATGCTACGGAGAAGCAATCGGGTTTGCCAGCAGCGGTAGGGGTCAAGCGGTTGAGGGTTGATAGAAGACAGATCTGCAAATTAGCCAACTATTAAAATTAGCACGATCCCTGACGGCCCGACATTAGCTGCCATCATCCCCTTGTGCAGAGAGTCACTAAGTAGGGTTGCAGACAGCCACAAAAAAGAGTACTTGAATTTCCTAAATTAGGCACTCGCATCGTGGAGAAGTCGAAACATTCTTTCGTGGTACGTCTATCAGTAAAGCTATATCGCACGTAGCGCAGCCGTTCGAGCTCTGGTGGCGCCTTATGTAGGCCGATACATACGTGCTATTTATGAGCAGACTGTTCCCACTCGGCCCCATCAAGCCGAACAATTAGTTCCGTGTTGGCTTTCATAACCACCCATAGCGTATCAGTTGGATCAAGTCGTATGGAAAACACATGTAATATCTGTCTTGTTATGGCAGCTAACTACACGGGCCACACACCCACCTTCCCAATCAGACAAAGGAGGACAGATGGCAGGTGTCGCCATGATTATCTAGTTTATCTGGAAACAGAAACCCCATGAAGCAGTGGCACGTGTAGGCAGCGCGTACCGTGGCGTGGAAAAGTGGGTTGATTGGTCGACCTTGTATTGCAAACGAGGCTGGGGCTGAGGCTTCACTGACAAAGGAAATATTCGTATAGCTTGATTTGCTCTATAGCATCGCAGCATATGCACGCTGCATATCATTTCTTACTAGTTTTCTCCGTGTTGTCGAGGTCTG